CATGCAACTCTATGATTAACTGTAGTAAAGAAGGCAACAAGCAAGAGAGGCATGTATATCGCTGCCAGCCGACCAGAGCTTCCTAATTTTACTGGTTATTGCTTCCATAAAAAACTATTACTATACTGCAGGCTACATAAGCCTGGCATGCTACAAACAGATGAAGTCATATCTACACGGGGTGGAGATGTATTCAGAAGAAAGTGAATAGGCAACAATACATCATATACTTGTGGCTTTGTTCTGAAATCACCTTAAAGGTATTTCTAAATCTTTGTCCACTGAAGACTTTATATAGGAATGCAAAGTGTGTGTTGCTTAAGCAACTAATATAAGGCTATGTCTTGGATCTAGACTCCAGTATTTCTAGAAGAGACTCACTGATATCAGTGGTTCAAATAGAACTAGAGACATCCACTATTTAATATGTTTTTTTTATTATTACTTCTGTTCAATCATGTCCAGTTCTCAACGTCTGCCTGAAAAAGTTCCCGCAATTTTCTTGGCAAATTTTTTTAGAAATGGTTTGCCATTGCCTCCTTCCTAGGGTGAAAGAAAATGACTGACCCAAGATCATTCAGTTGGCTTTGTGCATAAAGTGGGACTAGTCTCCCAGTTTCTAGTATGATGTCTGAACCCCGTGGTGGCGAACCTATGGCATGCGTGCCACAGGTGGCACGCAGAACCCTCTCTGTGGGCACGCGGGCCGTCGCCCCAGTCCTAGGCCTTCAGCTGAGTTTTATAAACCCTTTTCGCTTTAGGTCTCCGCTGCCGTGTGCAAAAACAAAAAGGTTCAATTTCAACTTCTCACGGGAAAAAAAAAGATCTCGCAAAGGTGGAATTGATTGATTGAACCTTTTAGTCCCATCCAGTCTGCTGTTACCACCGCGGTCACACCCACCCAATGGGCCACATCCACCTGGCACCCGACAATACATAAGTAGGTTTTGGGTTACAGTTTGGGCACTTGGTCTCTAAAAGGTTCGCCATCATTGTCTTAACCACTACATCAAATTGGTTTTCCTAACAACAATAGGAGCCGTGGTGGTGCAGTGGTTAAAATGCAGTATTGCAGGCAAACTCTGCCAACTGCCAGTTCAATTCTGATAAGCTAAAAATTGACTCAGACTTCCATCCTTCTGAGGTCGGTAAAATGAGGACTCAGATTGTTAGGGGCAATATGCTGACTCTATAAACCACTTAGAGAGTGCTATAAAGCACTATGAAGTCTAAATGCTATTGCTAGTATTATTGCTATATCCTTACACCTCTATATTCTCCCCCACATGCACACACACACACAAAACCCCTGGTATATGAGAACAGATATCCGAAATCCATACTTGGTGTCCTTATTAGCAACCCTTCCATTTATTTTACCATATTGTTTCAGGGTGAAGGGATTGTACAATGTAGCTGAAATACAGTAGAATGAATCCTAATTCTTGTCTTCAATTTGTAAGTACACTCAGACAGGTATATCCGTTTCTTCTTTGCTTCATAGACTCACATAACAGGCTAGTAAATAGGCTTACTAAGAAAAGAAAAAGTGCAAACAGGCAAAAATAGACTCAATATGAACAAGCACTAAGGCTTTGTCTGCACAACCTCACCATTCTGCTGGTATCTAACTGTATTTTAAGGTTGAAAAGCCTACTTATGGGCTGGTTGGCACATTTTCAAGCACTCGAGACAAAAAGGAAAATGGGAGTAGAGGACTTTGCCTGGGGCCCAGGTGGAGACATTCCAGGACCAACCTACGTGGCCAATAAATACTATACTGATCTGGCCATTCAGTAATCAACTATTCTGCTGGCATTTTAACACATTCGGAATCTGCTCAAGGGAAGAAAAACAGCACTTTAGCATAAAAATAGCTAAGAATGATACATGTAGCCAGGGAGGAAGCATCATGTAGATATATAGAAACAAAAAAAAAAGAATATCTTGGGCATTTATATGCAGTGATGAGTTAAAAGTACAGTATAATGCCACTTTATAATGCCTTGGTAAGACATTCTTGGAATACTGCATCCAGTTTTGGTCACCACAATGTAAAAACATGTTGAGACTCTAGAAAAAATGCAGAGAAGAGCAACAAAGATCATTAGGGAACTGGAGGCTAAAACATATAAGGAACAGTTGCTGGAATTGGGTATGTCTAGTCCAGTGATGGCAAATCTTTTAGAGACCGAGTGCCCAAACTACAACCCAAACCCCACTTATGCATCGTTGGGTGCCGGGTGGGTGTGGCCCATTGGGTGGGTGTGGCCCATTGGGTGGGTGTTGCCTACTGTGGTAACAGCAGACTGGGTGGGACTAAAACGTTCAATCAATCAATTCCAACTTTGCAAGATCTTTTTTCTTCTCCGCCAGAAGTTGAAATTGACTGATTGATTTAACTTTTTTTTTTTTTGCACACGGCAGCAGAGGCCTAAAGCAAAACAGTTTTATAAAACCCAGCTGAAGGCCTAGGACTGGGCCGACGGCACGTGTGCCCACAGAGAGGGCTCTGAGTGCCGCCTCTGGCACCCATGCCATAGGTTCGCCACCACTTGTCTAGTCTAATGAAGAGAAGGATGAGGGGTGACATGATAGCAATGTTCCAATATCTCAGGGATTGCCATAAATAAGAGGGAGTCAAGCTATTCTCCAAAGCACCTGAAGACAGAACAAGAAGCAACGGATGGAAACTAATCAAGAAGAGAAGCAACCCAGAACTAAGAAGAAATTTCCTGACAGTTAGAACAATTAATCAGTGCAACAACTTGCCTCCCAAAGTTGTGAATGCTCCAACACTGGAAGATTTTAGGAAGAGATTGGACAACCATTTGTCTGAAATGGTATAGGGTTTCCTGCCTGAGCAGGGTGTTGAACTAGAACACGGCTTTTCAACCGTGGTCCTTTGGCACATGGCAGTGGTATGCAACTGTCCTAGACAAGTGTAGGAAGGGAAGGGGAATGAGTTGAAGCAGTGGCAACACTGCACAAGCCTGACGAAGAAACAGCTGGAGCTGCAGTGCTATCGGGGCTCGGCAGAAGACCTAGGATCGGTGTGCGCGGCTAAAAACTGATCTGTGCTTCTGCAGGGCTGAGGGACTCGGCAGAAGCCCTAGGATTGGCATCGGTTTCTAGCTGATTAGCGCTTCTGGAAGCAACACGTAGCTGGAGGTGTACCAAAGAGAAAAGGAGAAGTAGGGAGAGAGGATATAAAAGAAGATGATTTAGCGGGACAGGGAATAAAAAGACAATAGGGGAAAGAGAGGGGGATGGAGAAAGAGAGGCGGAGAAGTGCAGCCTTGAGAGGAATCAGCTGGAGTGCACTGAAGAGAAAAGGAAGAGGGAGAAAGGGAGGAGAAGATATAAAAGGAGGTGATATTGGTGGGAGAGAGAAAAAAAGACAACAGGAAAAGAGAAGGGGACAGAGAAGAAGCTGTGGAAGAAGAGCCCAGCAGGCAGGGAGTAAAAAGAGAGAGGGAAGAAGAGGCTATGGAAGGAGAGCCCAGCAGGCAGGGAGGAAAAAGAGAGAGGAGAGGGAGAGAGGAAAAAGGGCCAACTAGCTACCTGAGCACCAAGATAGTGATGCATATTAATAAATATGGATAAATTTGTCATACATGTCAGTGAAAAGGGAAAGTGATTCAGAAAAGCAACCACCACCGAAGAAATTAAAACCGGTACTTTTTTCCTTTTTTAATGGTTTGTAACATTATATTAGATTATAGAATAAAATACAAAAATATAAAAGCAAATAGCGGAGAGGCAAAAGGGCAGGAAAATGAGGGGGGGAGGGGAAAAGAAAAGGCATTGACTTCCAACTTCCTCTGTTGCAGTAGAATGAAGCATTAACATCAAACCTCAACTTTTTACTTTTTTGTAATAGTATAAACTAGCCATTTCTATAACAACAAATGAATTAATCAATAAAACCCCAAATCCTCCCTTTCCCCCTTTTTTTAGTCATCAAGTTTTTGACACCTTGCTAAGTGGTGGTACTTCTATTCTATTCTGTTCTGTTCTGTTCTGCTCTACTAGAGAAAGGTCCTTGGTATGAATGAAATCATCCTAAGCACTGAGAAGAAATTAACAAGATGGGAAAAACTCAGTATTTTACAACTACCCAACATTCCTGTACTGTAAAGCATATTCTACTGAATTAAATTTTACAGAATTACCAAAAATTAAACACTCTCACAGTACAAATTAATTTAACATGTAACTTCTGCCTTGGACTTGTTTCCAAGAAACTATCTATTCTAACAAATTCCACTGGCGACACAACTCATAAGATCAAAATTTAACAAAGCTATAAATTCATTTATGTGGCTGTGTTTTTTTGAGAGGTATTCATACTTACTTTCCTGTACATTTTGTAAAATTATGCACTGAGACTGTTCTCCTGGAAATGGGAAATGTAGGGGTGGAAAAGGGCCAGAAACATCTTTTCCGGCCAAAACCTGCAGTGGATCTTGAAAGGGGTCTCAAATCTAATCAGGTAATGAATTATTATTTCAGATTCTGAACACTGTTTCTACAGGGGTTATTGTGTTCTATTGTAACCCTTCTAATGGCCTATTATTACTAGATATTTAATTCATAATTCATTGATAATTAGAGACAATATAAACCCTTTCTAATCTCTTACACAATTTCATAGCACATTTGTACAAAGTACAATTACAAACATTGTACACACAACTCAGTCAGAGATTTCATTTACTTTCTAACTCTCAGAAAGAAAGATGTTCTTTTTAAAAATATATACATATACATAAGGAAAATAAATGACATGGGATAGTAAGATGCTAGAAGCACATCAATAAATTGCCAAAAAGCTTATTAATATTGCTTAAAAGGTCAGCAACTTTTAAAAGGAGCACTTTAATTTTTTAAAAAAATTCACAGCCAAATTCTTTTCAGTTTCAGCTTTAAAAAAGAGGACAACTTAAAGAGAATACTAATATTCTGGTCAGTCAGGAAAACAAATTCAAATTTCTTACCATCAAAGAAACTTTTGGCTCTCAGGTAACTCACGCTCAGTCTCAGCACAGACAGTTTATCCAATTTGGCAATAACATCCTGAGGGAATGGCAGAAGACTAGCCAGACGATCCAGCTCAGCATTCAATCGATCTCTATGCCTTTTTGATGGATTTGACTTCGCTCCTTCAGGAGGGGAAGGTTTTACTCTGCCATAATAATAAGACATAGTGAGATCAAATTTTAAAACATACGTGTTTTCACCCATAACAAATATCATTCAAAAGTATCCCCAAATAATATATACATTTTCTTAGTGGTCCTGTGAATTTCAGTGAAATATGTATGTCCCAAACGTATTTTTGTTTCTTCTATTAAAATGAAAGCTGTTAAAAAGCGATGAAGCAGAGGTGGAGCAGGGGAAGAGTTTGAGGATATTCTGATCATACTACTGGATTTAAAACGATAATATCTTGCAACTGTCTTATCAGTAGATATCATGTATAACTATCAAAGAAACTTTATATTTAAGTTTTTTATTTTATTATTTTTTTTAAAAAATGGTACACATTATTATTACTGACTGATTGAATATAATCAACTATGCTGACCTAGTGCAGTTAGATAAATTTATGTTTTTGAATTGCCAGCTAGACAGTGACTGGTCCAAAGTAACCTAGCTGACTGAGCCTAAAAAATAACTACAACCTGGGGCTCTCTTTTCCTAATCCAGCATCTTACCCACTATAACTTACCAGATCTCAAATAGTATATATATTTATAAAATTGATATTTTATACTTCCAGAAATTTTCAGGATAGTTTATATACTCATACACACTATAAAACCTACACACCATAAAAACAAATGGTCATATACAATAGATATAAAAAATCTAACAGAGGTCTGTTAAAATGCCAAAGTTCTGAGATGTAAAAAAAATCAGACCAAGATAAATCACTTCAGAATTTCTCCACCTTTAATATAACAGATAAATTATACAATTGAAAAACAAACTAAAATATTTTAGGAGAAAAAAATAACAATAAAAAATATACAACAACATGACTGTATAAGTGTGTACATCCTCTTATAAGTAGAGATGTGGCTGTGTTCAGAATTAATCAATCACATTCAAAGTGATGTTAAATAGTAGTCGGTACACACCTGCAATCAATTAAAGTGACTTTGATTAAACCGATATAAAGTTCAGCTGTACTAGTTGGAGTTTTCTAACATTTACTCAGTAGCCTCTAACAGTAAAAGCCATGGTTTGCAAAGAGTTTACAAAGCTTCAACGGGATCTCATTGTTGGAAGGCATCAGTCAGGAGAAGGGTTAAAAAAAATCTCCAAGATATTGGATATACCAGTGATGGCGAACCTTTTAGAGACCGAGTGCCCAAACTGCAACCCAAAACCCACTTATTTATTGCAAAGTGCCAGGGCTGCATCAGCATTGTGGTGCCCTCAGGGGGGCAGGGTGGCGTAGCCCACTGGGTGGGCGTGGCTGCAGTGGTCACAGCAGACTGGGTGAGCGTGGCCAGGGTGGCGGGTGCCAGTCCCTCAACACCACTTGCTCGCTCACTTCCTGCCATGTCGGTTCCAAATGCCACGTGCTCACTAAATGTCGCTTCCAAACGCCACGTGCTCACTACTCTGGTGAACTCTGCTGGGGCAACGGTGTGCGTGCCCACAGAGAGGGCTCTGAGTGCCGCCTCTGGCACACGTGCCATAGGTTCGCCACCACTGGTCCGATATACTATGGAACACAGTGAAAATTGTCATCAACAAGTGGAGAAATTATAACACAGCAATGACATTACCAAAGAAAGGGATGTTCCTCCAAAACTGAAAAAAAAACAAGAAGAAAACTTGTCCGAGAGGCTGCCAAGAGGCCTATAGCAACATCAAAAGAGCTGCAAGAATTCCTGGAAAGTATTGCCTGTTTACTACATATTATGACAATCTCCCATATTCATTATATGTCATGACTGTGTGGTAGGGTGGCAAAGGGAAGCCTTTTTTAATAAAGAAAAGCATCCAAGCCCTCCTACGTTTTGCAAAATTCTACATCAAATCTGACAGAATCTGTTATGGTCAAACTTTTTGACTATAATTCCAAAAGATACTCAGCACAAAACAACACTACACATCACCAAAAGTACACTATATCCACAGTAAAGCATGGTAGTGGCAGCATTATGTTTTGGGGCTGCTTTTCTTCAGCTGCCTCTGCTTAAATGCAAATTTCACATGACAATGATCCAAAGCATACCTCCAAATCAACAAAAAAAAAATGGCTTCCCCAGAAAATAATGTTTTGGGATGGCCCAGTCGAGCTCAGAACTGAATCCAAATGAAAATCTTTAGGGTGAGCTGAAGAGAGTTGTGCACAAGAGATGATCTTGCAATCTGACAGATCTGAAGCGATTTTGCAAGGAAGAGTGGGTAAAGATTCCTACAGCAAGATGTGCCATGCTGATAGGCTCCTATTCCATAAGACTATAATGAAATCAAAAGGTTCTTTGACAAGGTATTAGTTTAAATGTGTGAAACTTATGCAACCAGATTATCATTTTTTTCTTATTTATTTTTGTCATCCTAAAAGATTTTAGTTTGTTTTTCAATTGAATGGTACAGCTAATTTATTATATTAAAAGTAAAAATTTCTAAAGTGATTTATCCTGGTCTGATTTTTTTGTAGCTCAAAAATCTGGCATTTAAACACGGGTGTGTAGACTTTTTATATCTACTGTAACTATTATAGCCAATCAGAGCCATAATATTTAAATCCAACTACAGAATACAAATACATTCACCAAGAATTGAAAATATATTTACATAAGATGGTATAAACAAACAGACTCATTTGCTAATTTCCTCAGATAGCACTGTCATGTAAAAACTATTCAATCTTAAATAGCAGGCTTAGGTATGCATGTGTCTCTATGTTGTTGAAACATATTTTTCATTTGCAACTGCACAATTGAGTCCCCAAAATTACAGTTACATAAATAGCTTATGAAACATATAATATGCACATAGTTGCTTTTCAAACATCCACCCACACAACAAGGTTAATATGTGAATTGGGTCATGGAACCAATAGTTGGCATTCTTCCTAATTTATTGAAAATGTATTTTGTTGGCACAAATAAATTTATATTATTGCAGAAACTTTTAATTCATCTAACTATTGAGTTCTAGATCAGGTATATTCTGTTCCAGATAAAATTTAAATATTTCATCATGACTGACTTCTATAATAACTATATGTCCTTATGCTTACAAAAACTTAATTGTGAAAGTAAATAAATGTCTAGATTTTTAAAAAGGCTTTTAAATGAGTGAATCATAGAGTGGAAAAGGTCTCCTTGAATGTTCACTGTAAATTAAAGATTTCAGACTGATCATGAAGCCAAAACCAAACTAGGCCCTGCTTTCAAATTTCTACACCATATTACCTTCAAAGTTCATTACCATTGATTCTAAGAGTCATTGTCCTAATACATTTAAATAATATATAATTAGATAAGATGATACTAAAGATGGCATATCTTATTTTACATTTCATTACTTGTTTAGTATTTTTCCCATTATGTGTGAAAAAAGCTACTGTTTATTTATTTTACCATCCTTTATTATTTTTATAAATAACTCAAGGCAGTGAACATACCTAAAATTCTGTAAGATCTTTTATAATTTAACTAGAAGAATAATTTTTTCTGAGCTATTGTTTTAAAGTGCTTCTTTTCTAGAATCTTTTAAAAGCAGCCTAAGAGTTTACCAAATAGAAGCACCTTCTGCTTAATCTCAATAATACCATGATCTCAGTTTACTACTATTGCTACCAAATACAATCTCAAGCTATTGTACTACCAGAATTAACTCTCTCATACTTACATACTCTGCTTCTTGTATTTTCACAAACGGATGAAGTCCTACTAGGCTAGATTTACAAGTCAAAATAAAATATAGTTAAGATGCAAAGAGTACTCTAGTCTTCTCCAAAAGATTTAACTTGCAAAACAGCTTACTCTCTGAATAGCATTGAGTATTTTCAGAATCTTTAGAAGATGCAGACTGACAGTTAACTGCAGTTCCAAAAAGATTGCAGCAATTGTCAGAAACAAAAACAAAACTGATAAAATGTGATAAATATTATAAGAATCAGATTAGCTCCTTATAGTAATAGCTGCAAGTTAACAAAATAATTTAAATACTGTAGAAAATTTAGTCAAGAATACTGTTGCAAACAATAATACATAAAAATAATACATAATACATGAAATATAATTTTCCAAATCCTGAGAGCTACGTTGGCTGCAATAGTCCAAGAAACAAATTCTGTCCTCTTATCTGGTAGTTGTGTGAAGATGAAATGTTGTACCAAATAGTTAAAAGAAAGTTGGGTGAAATTCATGGCCTTTTATACACAATGCCATATGTTGCATGAGGTCAGAGTATCTGAACAATTTGAACAATCACAATTGCATTATTTCTGCCTGTTCCATTAACTTGGACAGCAGGAGCATGCTCCAGGTCCCATCTTTTAGGGATTGTCATTTAGTAGGATATTTGCATTTACGATTGCTATGCCTATCCTCTAGAACAGGGGTGTCAAACTGCTGGCCCGCGGGCCGGTTTCATCATACTGGAGCCGCGCCCACCCCATTGCCGGCAATGGCAAAAAAGCTCCGATATGTTGCGCGACGTCACATGACTTCGCGAGTTTGACATGTCTGCTCTAGAACCCAATACTACCCAAATCCAAATTCATATACATATATGCATGCATGTATTCATACATACATATATACTTACCTATTCGACACATAAACATATAATACTCCGCAACTTGTACAAAAACTAGTCAGCTGGTGTAACTACAGAAGGATGTGAAGATTAAGGATAAAATTCAGTTATTGAAAAAAATACAATGGCCTAACTCCATCTGAAGCCCTAAAGCTCACTAAATGCCCTGTTTCCAAAGAACTATCCAAGGTATCCACAATACAATACAGTTATAACAGAACCACCAACAGCAAAAACTGAATAGGCCTGGAAAAATACAGGAGAAAAAGAAGACATATGCAATGCACTGCAGGACCTGAGAGAATACTATAGCAATCTCCCAGAACAGGAACTAGTCATCAGCACAGTAACAGACATCCAACAACAGGCTGAGAAATGAACAGCACCTGGCCCAGACATGATCCATATCTACT